TAGTCTCACCCATAGATGGGGTCAGTGCACTTCACGGGAGGAAGGTGATCTGGGAGATCCCAAACAGCCTCTGCTCACTCCTGGTGATGGATGAACCAGCAGTAAACCCCACATCTGACTTTTCCTTAGCTCAGCCTTGCTCATCCTTCCCCAAAAATGCCACATCCCAAGTCCACAGGATGTGTTTAACGTGAAGAGTCACCGTGTTGTTAATTTTAAGCAATTTCTCTGAAGGAATTTTTAATGCATCTGTGTTTTTTTCTGCTTCTGTAAAGGCAGGTGGTGGTCTACTTGCCCATGGACCAGCTGAGGTAGTCCACCACCCCATCCTTCCCCATGAAACCCCCAGCCCTGAGTTTCTCCCTGGTTGGGGACACATTGGTGCTCGCCACCAAGGCCGAGGGATTGCGCTGATGGTCTGGGCTGATCCTGGTTGAGGCACGTGCTGGTGTTTTCCTCAGGGAGGCTGGTTTGGGTCCCTGGCTGGCAAATGGCAGGGAGCAGTAAAAACAGCATTCCTGGGCTGTGAATGTACGTGCCTGCCCGGCCGGAGGAGACCTTGTTTGGAGAGCTCTGGGACAGGCAAGGCTTGTTTGTTCCAGGAAAACCCTCAGATTTCAGTCTCAAACATATTTTAAGCCAGACTACGTGGAAATGACGACTCTGTTCTGGGACTGGCCCAGCCTCTGGCACCACTGGAGATTCCCATGGCTGGTCCTTCCTCTGCCCAAGGTGGCTTCTCCTCCCATGGCAGCTCCTGAACCCCTGCAGCTGCTGTGGCTTTGCCAGGTGCCACTAATGAGGGTCACAAACAAGCTGTGCCACCATCCTGGGGGGCTGCCCATAGCCTGTGGTTGAATGTGGTACCTCTCCAGGGTGCCCACACCTCCTCTCTGCACCCTCCACCCTCTCTACTCCCCTTCCACAGGGGCCAAACTGACACAAAACCACCTCCAAGCAGAAGACACCTACCAAAAGAATTGTAGATACAACTCAAAACTGTAATAACTTTGTAGACAGATTTTTTTTTTTAAGTAGAAATTTGAGGATTCTCTATAGGGATGAGGCTGGCACTGCCCAACCCTAACAGCCTGATTGCCCACAGCCAGCACTGATGCCTGGGGAAATGGGAGCCAGTATGGGAAGGATGGACCTTTAAGGTGCCCTCATGAAGCACGTGGTCTGGTTTCAGATGTCCTCACCAGCTGCTTTCTTCCTTTCCCACAGCACGACTTCTCACTGGAAAGAAAAGCACTTTACTGGGTTGAGGTGGCCTCTCAGCAGCAAACCTCCCGCCATCGTGTCACCTCTGAAGTTGTCCCCACGGCTCCACCGTGCTGGCTGCTGCTGGTGGACCCCACTGACAGCAACGGGGGGAGAGCACGGGACGGGGCGGTGCGGCGCTGCCTCAGCCTGAGCGATACCAACGGGCTCGCCAAGGGCAGAGGAGCCTTGTCCGACACCGAGAGCGAGACCTGGCACTCAGAGGAGGATGATTACTCGGAGGATGATGAGTATTCCTCAACCTCATGGGAAGAGAATGACAAAGATGAAAAGGTTTCCAGGAGGAGGAACTCTGGGAGAGGTGTTCCTCTGCGTCCTGGCTTTTACCAAACCCGACCAAAGACATCACCCGGCTTGTTGGAGCCGCTGCCGCAGAACAACATCCACAACCCAGCCAGCCCGGACCTGAGCAAGCAGAGAAGATCCATGGTGATGTTTAATAACATGAAGAACGAGCTGGAAGCAGCCAGGAGGAAGCTGGGTGCTTTGGTGCATCCTTTGAACAGAGCCACTGTGGAGAGCAAAGGGGTCCCAGTGCCACGGCCGCTCCCCCAGTGCTCCCGCACCAGCCGCAGCGTCAAGTACGGGCCAGCCCCGGACGTGTCCCACCTGGGGACCTGGGTGCCAGCTCCTCCGGCTGCGACTGCGCCGATCCCCCCGATCAAACGACATAAGCCCACAGTGCCGGTGAGGTGTTTTCTTCTGGGAGCCCTTTGTGTGTGTTGCTGAGACAGGAGAGGTTGAATTTGTCCCGTTAGCTGAGGTCTGGCCAGTGAAATGGAACCAAAGTGGGGCTTTGGGAACACTGAACCCATGAGAAATCACTGATGAGTTTTGGTAAATTTGATCCTAACCAAAACATCCCCATTTTTCTGACAAGCAAAGCATTTTATTTGATTTTCAATTGAAAAAAAAAAAGTGAAATAAGGAGGTTTTTTCCCTCTTCCCTTTCCATTTTCCACCCCCCTCCAGCAGATATAAACAGAGTTTATAGGGAATTCCCCCCTTACAGCCATCGTGTCTTTCCTAGGAAACTTTAGAACTTCATAATCCTACTAGAAATTTGAATTGTTTAATGATAAAGACAGTGATGTGGAGTGATGGAGTAAATATTGCTTTCCATCACCTTCAATCTGGATGGTGCCATGTTTTTTAAGAAATCTCATCTCATCCAGCTACCTGAGAGACAAATTACTTAAAACTCACAATTAAAACCATGGGACACATAAAAGGCTGGGTTGTTTATAGGTAGTTGCATTAGATGTAGGGTAATTAAGGAAAGATAATGAGTCTGATGAGGAGCAGCTGAGGGAACTGGGGGTGTTGAGCCTGGAGAAAAGGAGGCTGAGGGGGGACCTTGTGGCTCTGTGCAAGTCCCTTGGAGGAGGGTGGAGAGAGGTGGGGGTGGGTCTGTTCAACCAAGGACCAAGGGACAGGACAAGAGGAAATGGGCTCCAGTTGTGCCCAGGGCAGTTGAGATGGGATGTGAGGAAGAATTTCTTTGCTGCAAGGGTTCTGAGGCATTGGAAGGGGTTGGCCAGGGCAGTGGTGGAGTCCCCATCCCTGGAGGTGTTCAAAAAACTTCAGGACATGGATTAGTGGGCATGGTGGCGTTGGGTTGACAGTTGGACTTGATGATCTTGGAGGTCTTTTCCAACCTTAATGATTCTATGATTAAATACTCATCTTTAAGGTCCCTTCCAACCCAAACCATTCTGTGATTGATTCTATGATCAGGGGAGCATCCTCCTGCCCAGGCTGCTCCACTGCCTGCCCATGGGCAGTGCTGCCTCTTGCTTGGCCAGTCCAGGATGGCATTTATTGCTGGAGATGTGATGGAGATTCCCAGGGAAAGGAAGCTGCTTTGGTTGCTTTGCCCCATGAAGCCTCTTGAGCACAGTTTGATCCATATCCATAGCTGAGCCTGGCTTTAATGAAGTCCAGCCTCCCCTGATGCCCAAGGGGGTTTGTTCCCCCTACAGGAATTTTCCTCTTCTGGAGAGAGCAAGGTAACTGCCGGTGTTGGGAAGCATTGCTTCAGCTTGTGTCTTTTAACATCGTTTCATGAGCTGGAGCAAGACCATCTGCTGTTTTTTTCTTGCAGTCCCTCAGCCCCTACACCTGCCTCCCCCCTGCCTCCACACCGACCTCTACGCCAACCTCCACGCCGGCCTCTACGCCTGCGCGACCTCTCAGTTCCCACAGATCCCAACCGGACTCGGCGGCTGACCTCCTCTCGGCGCTGAGCCAAGAGGAACGAGATCTCATCGAACCCGTTATAGCCTTGGGCTACCCCACCCGCAAAGCCATCCTCACCCTCCAGAAGATTGGAAAGCAAAGCTTAAGTCAGGTTGGTGGAGCTGGCACTGCGCCACGGAAAGCTTTTGGTAAATTAAAGCTTGATTTACATGCAGAAAGGGATGGCTGTCTCACTTGGGGTGGACTTCTGATGGCCTCCTTCTGCTCTGGAGGAAAATAGAGCTGGGTTTCTCGCTTTGGTATCAGACCTTCAGCTGACAGGGTTTTCCATGAGGTCACACGTCTGCACTTGTGCTGTAATAAAATAGCAACGAGTCGCCCTCAGCTTTTCAGCAAGTAATAAGGGCCGGGTGGCGTTATCTGTTCCATCTGCTGTGTGGAGCATTGTGTCCTTTTGAAGTACCAATTTTTCCCCCGTATATGGAAACTTTTTGCACATCATTTTTCCCCGGCTGTTAGATTCATGTGATTATTGCCATGGCTCATCCTGTCAGAGCGGGACTGTACAAATACCTCAGAGATTTGTCTGGGCTCTCTCCAAAACACAAGCTCCTCGCGTTGGAGCAACCAGGGGCTCCATGAAAGCATCGCTGCTGGGTCCCAGAGCTCTTTTCCTAAGGAACCCTCTATAATAACCTGGAATTTATTTAAATTAATTAACATACAACCTCTTCCTACACTTGGTGGTTGAGTACATCACAGTCTGTTGTGCTGTGTCTTGATTCCTGAGGTCTCTGCTTGTCCAGACAAACCCCACCATGGTCCAGGTGGGCTTGGAGCATCCATGCCATGAGGGATGCTGCTGACTGTGACCTTCTGGCTTGGCAAGCTTGGGGTTGGACCTGCTTTGGTGGGCATCTGGCCTCTAGCCAGGGTCAACCCACCATCCCGGCAGAGGATTTAATAGAGCTGAATTATCCAGCTAGCTCTTGCAGAGAGAGAAGGGGCTTGATGGGAGCTTAGCAAGAGGGATGTCCACCAGGCTGTCATGCCAGGGAGCAGGAGCAGACCCCGGGCAGGGGTGTGAGGAGGCATAGCACCAAGCAGCCACTGTTGGGTGCCCATCTCCTTCCCGTTCCCCTGGGGAGCTGCCCGTGCTGCGTGGGCCAGTTCTTACCCATCTGGTCAGTGCACAAAGCTGCTCCACAGCTGAGTCATCCCACAGCTTCTGGTTCCCTCTTGAGTCACCCCTGGTTGGACCAACCTCCCCAGACCCTCGCTGGTGTTTCAGGTGAGCGTCGCCGCAAGCCGGGGTGGGAAGAGAAGCTTTAATTCTTTAATTCCTAAAGGTTTTATCTAGGCAGAGGGAGATGGGCAGAGCACAGCCCACGTTCTTTGTGTGCAGGGGTGTCTTGTAGCAGCTGCTGTCTCAATATGAAGGAGCAACACATCTTGTTAAGGATGGAAATGGGTACAGCCTGCTCCCTTCTCTGAAAACACAGCAACTCCCATTCCCTTGGAAAAGTGATTCATGGACCAAAATACAAGGTCTACTTTATATCTTGTGTCTTCTTCACCATCTTTCCCAGTTACTCCCAATACAGCTGAGATAAAACGTAGAGCCTAAGCCCTTGGCACATCTCTTACAAGTACAGAGCTACCAACTGAGGCAAAACCTTCCTGGAAAATATGTTTCCATGCAAGTTAAAAACAAAGAGCCGTGGGCGCTCGTCGTTGCTTGCTGGTGTCACGTGGAGTTTTGAGTGTGTGACGATGACAGCTTCAACCATGAAGATTGATTGTAGAACCAGATGGTAGCAGCCAAAAATTGCTCCATTTCTTTGCAGTGTCAGGTCAAATTGGCAGAGCCCACCCCAGTGGAGAAGGTAAGTCTGCTGCCTTAAGGAGGTGATGTCTTCTCAGCTTTGGTGGAAGAGCCTCTCTAAAAGGCTCGAGCACTTTTAGTTGCCCCAACATGCCAGAGGTTCATCGTCTAGGATGTCGTGGCCAAGGACTAAACCAAAAACACATCATTGCCTTTTGATCAGTGGTCATTGATCAATCAAAAATGCATTGTTGATCCGTGGAGCTCTCAAGGTGGGTGTGAGCTGAGACATGATGGATGCTGCAGCTGGTCAGCATCCATCTCCCCAAACAGCAGTAAGCACAGGGTTCAGAGCGGGGCGTTCACCACGGGACAGAGCCCACTGTGCCAGCTGCCTCCTGGCCGTGCAGGGATGAGGAGCCTCTTCCTGTGGACTGTTGGGCTCTTGTGAAGTCAATAATTCAGCGCAATGAATGCTCAGCTGTGCTTCCACTCCTGCCCCTTTCCTCCTCCGCGAGAAGTTGTTGTCTTACCCCAAGCGACAATCTAGATCTTCATCGCTTCCTACAAGCCTGGCATCAGCCATCCCTACTGGTGGTGGCTTCCCGAGACTCTTCAACGCTTGTAGAAGTTGCCTTCTCAGTGGTGGCATTTACAGCTGTGAGTTGAGCAGTGTTGGCCATCATGGTGCTGGCTGGGATCTCCCTGTCTCCCCGGAGACCTTCTGTCCCTGGAGGCTCAGCACCTGAGGGGTAGTGCCCACCAGGTTTGCGCATCCTTGGCTTGAACCCTTCTGCAAGACTGGGGAGATGTTTACCCTGTTCCTCCACAATGAGATCAGCATTTGGGTCTTTGGTGGTGTGTGTTTGTGGTTTTTTCCACGCTAGCAGTTTACAGTCCATGATCCAGGTGGGTCGGTGGAATGGTTGGTGGTAAGGCTTTGCTCTTCTTAAGCAGTCAGTCAGTTGTTGGAGCACCTGAAGTGGGACCTCATGGGGATGGGCCTTTCTGATGGGCATCAGCCAAAGTGGTACCGGGACATGGAAGATAAAACCCACTGGAGGAGGGATTTCCTTTGTGTCGCTGCACGTGATTGTCTTCGATGTGAAAAGCTCCATCGCTGCACATAACATGAAGTAACAGCAAATGAGGGAAGACATAAATCAGCAGGTTATTGATCTACCAGAGCCTGGAGGTCTCTTCCCACACAAGCACTTTGTGATGAGGTTATTGGGTTGGCTGGGTCATGGATAAAGCTGAGCTCTCCACAGTTGCCTGTGCTGGAGGAACTTCACATCTAAGTGTGATGAGGAACCTCCTTGAGAACTACAAGGGGAAAAGGAGTTTCAAGAGGTCTCCTCCTCCTCCCCAGCGAGCAGTGGGGCTGGTACTGGACCCAGGGGTTAGCAGGTCATAGTATTTAAGAACCTGGTTTTGTTTAGTCTTCTGGAGATATAGATAGATATATTTATATATACACATTATTTTTTTAATGATAAAAATCCTTGAGTTGACCAATTTCATGCTGGGCTTGCAGGCTGCCAGGACTGGCCATGAGCAGGGTGAGTGGCTGTCCCTGCTGTGACAGGGCAAGAAAATACAGCAGTGATCTGGGGTGATTAGTTAGGAAGGTAACGAGGAAAATAAAAACCAGGTTATGAACACAAATGACTGTCTAATTTTTGAGTTAATAAATTGCTTTTTAAGGTTGACTTTACTTAAGATTCTTACTCTGCTCTGTAGCCAAACTGGATCAACTCAACGCTTGAGGGACTTTTTTGGCTTTTTTATATGTTTTATGGGTTTTTACTGAATCCTTCTCCTTGGCTGTGGGAGTGCTGGGGAGGGTGGAGGTCTGTGCACTGGTGGATCTGGGGAGATATGAATCAGCTTCTCCTTGGATGAAGACGAACACGGTTTTGGGGAGACCTGTGGGATGGTTTTATTCCCCCTGCTATTGTGTAGCTCTTTTATTACTGCTTGTCCCATATGTTTTTGGACAGTGAATGATTCTCATGGTATTTCAAAGATACCGCTGGGAATAGTGCTGTCAGCACTCCAAGAACGACGAGGAAAGCCAAAAATAACTGTTTACTTTCAGTAATGACAGCACATGGGTCTCCCCTGGGGTGAGTTTTGTGCTCAAACCCTGGAGTGAACCCACAGACGCACAAACTCCGGCACATCAAAGGGATGTTGGGTCGGCCAAGGATAGACATCTCACCGGGATAGGCTCTGCCTCACCCCCTGGCCTGGAGGTCATCGCTTTGAGATGGTTCAGATGTTTGGTTTGCTCCTCGTCCTTCCTCTGCCTTGTTTCCCTTCCCACCCTGGGTAAGTGGGGAGGACCAAGATGTTGTCTTCTCATGGTGGGAACCCTGCTGATAGACAGACTGTCCTGGCTGAGCATCAGACAGGAGCCAGCAGGACAGTTGTGCCCCAGGTCCCAGGTGGCAAGGTGGGCTCCTGAATGCACTTCTACCGCGTGCCTGCGAGGTTGGATTAACCCTGATTGTCTTCTTCTGCAGTTCCTGAGCTACCTGCGTGCCTGTGACCGGCTGCTGAAGCAGGGCTACGAGGAAGGACAGGTGGAGGAGGCCATGGAAATGTTCCAGTACTCGGAGAAAAAGGTCAGAGTGGGGCAGCACAGCCCGGCCCTTTGTCCTGCGTCCTCCAGACTCACTTTTCCAGCGGGCTGCACGCTCCCCTCCACCTCCACTACCCCTGGTGCAACCTCCTAGCTGGTCAGACCCATTACCCTGCGAGCAGCAAGCCCACACTCGCAGCAGACCCCCAGAGCAGTGTCACCGTGAGGACCCCCCCAGGAAGGACACCCACTCTGTTGCTTTTCTCCATCCATCGCTCAGCTCAGCCCCTGCGTGGGGAATCCTCCACCCTGAGCCCACCAGCACCCACACTCATGACCTCCATCCCCATTTGCATTCACCCCCAAGGAGAAGAACCATGGTGGCACTCCAGGTGTAGGTCTTCATCACTGATCTTCTCCTGGGGGGTGGTGAAGAACTGAGGTGGGAGAAAACCTGCTTGAAATTTGGGTTGGTGGTGCTGGATGTGATGATGACAACACGTAGGCTTGCGGGCTCACTGCTCATTAGGGCTGTGGCAGTGGAAGGCACCAGGGTCTCAGTGTCAGGCTGGGGGTTTTTTATTGAGGATGTGGCTCCAGGGGATGTTGTGGTGGTGGGACCCAGGCTGAGTAGGGAGGGAAGAAGAAATTACTTCCAGCTTGCACTCGTTGCCTTTCCCCTGTCTCTGTAACGCAGGCAAATGCGTGCATGGAATTCATAGTAAACTTTCGAAGGAATAAGTGAAGCTGGAGGTTTTATTAAGTATTTCTTATTTAAAAAGTTGATGTGAAGATACACTTTTAAGTGCTAGCAGTGGTGGGGGTTATTTATTGAGGATGTGGCTCCAGGAGATGTTGTGGTGGTGGGACCCAGGCTGAGTAGGGAGGGAAGAAGAAATTACTTCCAGCTTGCACTCGTTGCCTTTCCCCTGTCTCTGTAACGCCGGCAAACGCGTGCATGGAATTCATAGTAAACTTTCGAAGGAATAAGTGAAGCTGGAGGTTTTATTAAGTATTTCTTATTTAAAAAGTTGATGTGAAGATACACTTTTTAAGTGCTAGCAGTGGTATGTGTGCCCTCACTCTGCTGTCAGCAGTGGCACCAGGAGTGACCTTCAGCAGTAATACAACCCGGCCAGGTCATCTGGCTGCAGCTTTGTCACCCAACACTGTTTCTGCTGCAACTCTACAGTAAATCCACCTTTAAAACCTCATGATAACATTGCTCCTTTCTCTTCCTTCTTCCTCCAGGCAGCTGAATTCCTGCATTTGTTATCTCAGTTTAACGATATGGGGTTCCAGCAAAATGAAATCAAAGAAGTTCTTCTGCTTTGTGGGAATCAGAGGGAGAAGGCCTTGGAAGAGCTTATGATGAAAACCCAATGAGCAACCCCTGGACCCCAATCGCTGCTTCCCCTTTCCAGACTGGACCACTGAAGAACTTGGGTGGGTTGGCACACACTTACCCTTCTGCTGCTCCATCCCACCCCAACAGCGTGGCTCACTAGGCACAAACCTTCAAAGCACCAGCTTGGTGTCTCATCTCATTTTGTGGACATCCATCATACACGTCTTTGGCAGTTACAGCAGGAGCGTTCATCTCTTCACCCACACGTCTCCACCCTTGATCAGCTCAGCTGTTTCGATTACAGAATCACAGAATCATTAAGGTTGGAAAAGACCTTTAAGACCATCCAGTCCAATTGTCATCTCATCACCACCATGTCCATTAAACCATATCCCTGAGTGATACACCTACAGGTTCCTTGAACACCTCCAGGGATGAGGACTCCACCACTGTCCTGGCCCACCCCTTCCAATGCCTCAGAACCCTTTCAGCAAAGAAATTCTTCCTCACATCCCATCTCAACTGCCCTGGGCACAACTGGAGCCCATTTCCTCTTGTCCTGTCCCTTGGTCCTTGGTTGAACAGACCCACACACACATATCTCTACCCTCCTCCAAGGGACTTGGACAGAGCCACAAGGTCTCCCCTCAGCCTCCTTTTCTCCAGGCTCAACAACCCCAGTTCCCTCAGCCACAAGGGAACTCAGCACACTTGTGCTCCAGACCCTTCCCCAGCTCTGTTGCCCTTCTCTGGACACGCTCCAGCCCCTCCATGTCCTTCTTGGAGTGAGGGGCCCAACACTGAACCCAGCACTGGAGGTGAAGTTAGATGCAGTAAGATCCAAACTCCCTTTGCCTTAGGTTTTGCAAAACCCAGACCACAGTTTTCTCCTTCTGCTTAGGGTGATGGGTGTCGTGTTTGTAACTACAATCAAATGTGGATTCTTAAAAACCACGTACATCACCAGAAGAGATTGTTTTCATAAAAACTGAAGGCTCCTGCAGAAACATTTGTTGGTCCTTGCTTGGGAAAAGTCTCAGCTGACTCAGTCGTGGTTGAATATTGGAATTGAAATCCAATCTGATCACACTTAGTTTCTCCTTTTAAACTAGAAACTAAAGAAAAATACAGAATTCAGTGAGGGTAAGGAAAGCAAACAAGCTGCCCTCGCTCGAGAAATACATGAAGTTTATCCAGCGCGATGAGAAATGGCTTATGTGAGGGTGTGTGCCCAGGGAGAACTTAATGAAATCAGAACAGAGACGGGGAGCGGCTCGGCTGCCCTCGTGCTCTGCCCAAATCAGGAAAATTCAGGGGATGCTTCCCTAAACTGTGGAGACAGTGGCTCCAAAGGAAATTCAACACGAATGTCAGGATCAGGAAAATTGGGATGCCCAGGGGAATGTTTGCACGTAACCAAAGATTCAGATCACCTTACAGAATGTGTCTCTTGGCTTGGCAAGTGGAACAGCGGACGGTGGTTTGACAGAAAAGTCTATTATTTTCCTGGGAATTAGATACAGATGTAATTTCTTTGAGTAAAAGATGGTTGGAGGGGTACTTCTGAAATGTATTTCTGTCTTTTCCTGCGCGAATGCCAACTGGCACACAACCTAGCAGAGAAAGAAATCTTTGCATTCGTTGCATTAGTACCATTTTTCCACTGTATCCTTCCAAACGGTCTCCCAGCCCGACGTACCAACATCACCCGACCTAAAACACCCGGTCCCTTCTCCCTGTGTCTCTAGGTAGGTGCCAAACACCAGCAGGAGGGTAGAGCCCTCCACAGTTGCCTTCATCCTCACTTGGATGCGATGAGGAAATTTAGCATCCAAGTTTTGGGAGGTTTGACCCAATCCATACCCAAAGCTGCTTTATTCCTTCTCTTCTTTAATGGCATTGAAAAGGGAAATGTGGCACCTTTGTACAACCAAGGGAGATATTGGTGGGGAACTCACAAGCTCTTCTTGGAGCTCCCAAGCCTGTTTTTTTCCTCCAGCTTTCCTTTGGTTATACAAGCTTTTATTTTTGATACAGCCCTTATAAGGCAAGTCCATTCTACAGGCAGCTTTCCCTTACGTTCATCCTTGCCAAGATGATGTCACCTTAAAAAAAACAACAAAAAAAGAAACTTGCAAAAAGGTTAAACTGTGATGAGATAGATCCTTTTGCCTCCAACTGTGATCTTTGGCGAGGTGAACACCGTGAAGATTGAAAAGGGGAAGATAACGGTGCTGTGCTGGTGCCAGTAATGTGTTAACATCGAGGGCCAAATTCTGGTGGAGCAAAGCACGTTCCCAGCGTCGTGCCCACTGGTTGTGCAAAGGCTCTCCTTAAGAGATTTGCCTAGTCCTGGCTCAGCAATTTCCCCCCCATCTTGCAGAGGTAAGAACTGGATCTTCTTTTTTTTTTATTCTCCCTAAAATTATCTTCTATTATTTTCTGTATCACGGTCTGGATCGATGGATGCAACAAATCACTCCTCTCTTGAGAGCATCCATGTCCTACTCAACAATACCAAGACCTACTTTTTCCCCGCAGGTGCTACACTTAAAAATCTTAAATCTTTTTGTATTTTGTCAGCAAATATCTTTGTAAACCCCTGAACTGTCAAAAAACCAAAATAATATGTGAAGGTGGAGGGAGTGATGGTAACTCGTGGTGGTGGTGGAGCTGGAGGGAAGGGGAGAGCCTGCCAAGTTCAGCTCTCCTGGGTTAGTCACAGGAGCCCGTCATAAATATTTTAGTAACAGAATTATTTTAACTTTCTTTTAATGGAAGGTTGAAGCTGTTTGTTCAACTTAATATGGTTTGAAAGCAACGTACTTCCCCGCGCCGCCTTCACTCAGGGGAAGACAGCGGGAAATGTTAATTGGTTTCGTCTAAGAAGGGAACAAGGATTTGATTTGATGGGTTTTCAGCTAACGAGGATAGTAACACCACTCAGCTAATGCTGCAGCGCCGTGGAGAGCTGGGTGAGGTCCTCCAGTGTCCCCCCTGTGCCACCATCAGCTCCACCACCTCATCCCAGGGGTGACAGCAGGGTGGTGGCCTGGCCCAGTGGCAGAGGGCAGACAGGGACAAGGCACATCACGTTGGTTTCAATCTGGACGTGGATGGGAGCTGGGGTTTTCTTGTTTGTTTTGGTTGGTGGTTGTGTTGTGTTGTGTGGGTTTGGGGTTGTTTTTTTTCAAATGTGGGAACTGTTTTGAAAATGCTGAGAACTTGGCGAGGGTCAGCAGCGGAGGTATTTGAGGCATCCCAGCTGGTATTCCCTTCCGCTCCATCCCGGCCAGGACAGCACAGGCAGCCCAGAGCCTGCCCCACGGATGGGAACCCAGCTGAGCCATGGGCTGGGTTTGCTGCTGTCCTGGTCCCCGCAGGTGTCCTGACAGTGCTGTGGTCACAACGGGGAGCTCTGTGTGCTCCAACCATCTCCAGAGCTGGTGTTGAGGGCTAGCAACCTTCAACACTGGGCAGTGGTGTCTACCAAGAACAGGTCATCCAGTTATGAACCTCTGCTAATGGAGAAGACCTCTGCAAGCCTCTCGTCACCCTGCAATGCTGCTGCTCTCTCCCTCCCTTCCCTTTTTGCACCCTCTGTATTTCCAAGGTTTGTTGTGTCCTCAAAAGACCCTACCTTGGCTCAAATGAGTCTCTGATGAGCATCAGCACTTGCCACTCCCCTGGGTTTGTGCTGGGGCTCGGCAGATGTGCCTGGAGGAGCCAGTAGCTGGTTAATGCGCTCGGAGAGGTGAGAGATGGTTCCCAGGTCCCAGGAACCCCTCAGTGCCTGAAGCACCCAATGCCCAGGAGGTGATTTCCTTCACCCCCATCTCCCCGCTCCCCTCCTCCTCCCAGGACCCCGCGGTGGCTGTGGAGATCTCCCCGGGGAGCGCAGGGCTCACGCTCCCACGTACGGCTCTGAAACAGCCGCAGCTGAGAAAGCTTTTCAGGGGGCAGGAGCCTTGACGTGGATCCCCCGTACCAGGTATTTCCCTTCAGAAGAGGAGAAAGCACCCCAAAACCTGAGAGTAATGGAAAACATGGGGGGTTTATAGCTTTCCTTTTAATTCCAGGCTATAATGAATGATTTCCCGTCGGAGCAGAGGGGAGGTGGGATGCTGCACGCCTTCAGAGTGTGGTCAGAATAACTAGAGCCCATGTTTGAGTCTCTTTGGTATCTGTCCTCTGCAGAAGCCATGAAGCCCCACATGCTGTTGGCCCATGACCCCACGTCTGGTGGGACTTTGCACCCAGAGGCAGGCAGCACCTGCCTGCAGCCCCTTTCCCACTGGCAGGGACTTGAGTCACCTCCAAGATCCAACGTGACATGTTCCTGGACCTGAACATGGCTCCGTGGAGGAGGAGAGGAGCCTAAAGGAGTGGTGGGTGCAGAGCTGAGGCCACGTGGAAGGAGAGCATCCCAACGTGGGACAAGGGCCACCTACGTCGCAACATCGTGGTCACGCCTCGGCAGTCGCAGGAGGAAGGTCTGCAGGGATCCACTACGCGGGAAACCCACCCGCTCCTTCTTGAACCTCCAGGTCTCCTCTTCCACGGAGTAGAGGAGCGTCAGCATCTTGTTGACAGTGTAGACGGTGTCACCTCTGATGATGGCGGTGAAGAGAGCTCCTTTGCTATTCACGAACTGCCCGGGCAGGGCCGTCCACTGCCGCGACGTCAGGTTGAAGCAGTCGATGACGCAACGCAAGAAGTCATCCGAGGGGCCGTTGCGCATGACGTAGAGGTTGTCACGATGGGCCACCATGCAGTGCCCGTAGCTCTGGTGCCGTTTGAGCTCGGTCACGGGAAGCCACACATCTTGCTGGGTCTCATACTCATAGATGACGGTGGTGTCCAGTGGCTTCCACAAGCAAACAAAGATCTGCCCCATGGTTTGGGCGCAGGGTGCTGCCGCACTGGGCTGTGGCAGGTCAGAGACGAATGTCCAAGTGCTGGTGGCCACGTCATACCTCTCCACGGACTTCAGGGAGATCTTCTCGTACTCCCCACCGATGGCGTAGAGGTAGCCCTCATGGCCCACCAGCCTGACGTCGTAACGCAGCTGATGAGGGCTGGGGAACTCGCTCCAGGCGTTGGCATCAGCATCGTAGCAGAAGCTGCTCTCCACCACCTGCTTGCTGGCCCCGTAGACACCACCCACGATGTAGATCTTATTATCCATGGTTGCCATGCCGGCTAGGAATGTGCTGGCGCTCAGTGGCAAGCAGGAGAGGGTCCTCCATGTGTTGGTCTCCTCATCCAGGTAGCAGATAGTCCTGGACAGGTCCTCCAGGAACTCAAAGGTGGGCGTGTGAGCTCCCACTGCCACAAAGGTGCTGGGCAGGAGGGTCTCCACGTAGGCCAGCAGGTCGGTGGAGAGGCAGTCCAGGTACTCCTCCAGCTCAGCATAGCTGTCCCTGATGTAGAGCGCGGCGCAGTGGAAGAGGTCCAGGAGACCGAATATGGCAGCGGCTTGATACAGCAGGATGCAGTTGTCAGAGTTGATGGAGTGGATCAGGTACTTGGCCAAGGGCTTCACCTGCAGAAAGGCGGCACACTCCACCGCCTGGAAGATCTCCTCACTGCTGAAGATGGGCCTCTCACCCGCCAGCACCCGCAGCATGGCGAGGAACCCGGTCGCGCTCAGCTCCCCCAGCCCGATCTCCTCCTGCGTGCTCTCCCTCATGCCCGAGCGGAAGAGGGCACGGAAATACTCACTGTTCTCCACCAACAAGGTCTTCTCCACCCAGAACAACTGCTCCTCCACCCGAATACGCACCTGCTCTGGGGACCCTGCCTGGGAACCTTCCTCCTCTGGGGTCATCCTCAGCTTTGGGGGTGGGCAGCACCCAATGTCCTCTGTGCCGTGTTCTCCTCCTGCCTCCACCACCCTTTGATGCCTTTGCTGTCCTGCCCGGCGGCC